GGATGACCAAAGGAGTTACCTTTCTTCTACCCAAAAATAGTGACACAAATATTCGAAAAACTATAGACCAATTACATGTCTTCCAACAACATACAAACTGTTAACATCTATTTTAACAAAACAGACATATTTCTTCTTGGAAAGAAATGACATACTACCACTTGAACAAAAAGGGTGCAAACGAGGCTGCTACGGATGTAAAGACCAATTACTTATTAATAGGATGATCCTGGAAAACTGCTTCCGTGAAAAACAAAATCTTAGTATTGCCTGGATAGATTATCGTAAAGCATTCGATAGTGTACCACATTCCTGGATCTTAAAGTCTTTAAGTATGTACAAGGTATCACCCGTTATCATCAATTTCATCAAACAATGTATGTCGATATGGAAAACTACACTTTACCTCAATCATAAAAATGGAACCTATAAGTCTGGCGAAATAAACATCAATAGAGGAATATTTCAAGGTGACTCTTTGTCTCCTTTATTATTTTGCATATCACTTATAGCATTAACCAGCCAACTTAACAAGACAGAATGCGGTTACAAAATAGCTCAAAAGAAAATAAACCATCTATTTTACATGGATGACTTAAAATTGTATGCTAGGAATGACAATGAGCTGGAAGGTCTTCTGCAAACTGTAAAATGCTTCAGTGAAGACATCGGAATGAAATTCAATTTGGATAAATGTGCTAAAGCTACAGTTTTACGAGGATCGCTACAACAAACTTCCTCTATTAGTTTAGACCCTGCTGTAACAATAAAAGATTTAGAACAAGGAGAAGCTTATAAGTACCTAGGTGTAAATGAGAGTGAAGGAATTCACCATAAGAAAATGAAAGAAATAGTGCGTAAAGAGTACTATAGAAGGGTACGACTGGTATTAAAAACTGAATTGAATTCTCAGAACAGAATTATGGCCATTAATAACCTAGCCATCCCAGTGGTCCAATATAGTTTCAACATCTTGAACTGGACTCTAAATGACATCAGACAAATGGATTCTAAAACAAGAAAGCTTCTTTTCTAAGTATAAGATGCATCATCCAAAGGCTGATGTAGACCGTCTATACATACCCCGTAAAGAAGGTGGAAGAGGTCTTATTCAGCTAGAATTGTCATACAAGACAACAACTATTGGCTTACTAACTTACATGGAAACAACAAATGACTGGATGATAAAATTAGTGAAACAACATGAAAACAGAAAGAAAAAAATATTCAATAATAAAAGAAGGCAGTAAATACAAACAACATTTACATTTAGTAGATTCTGTAGTAAATCAAAAACAGAAGCCAAGAACCAACTATTGCAGCAAAAGATATGAAAAAAGAAAGCCAAGGATAAAGCCCTTGAACAGATGAAACAACGCTGGCAAGACAAACCTCTGCATGGCCAATATCCAGAACGTGCAAATAAACCCAATGTTGATAAAGTTAATACTCATCGATGGTTACGAGCGTCTGGATTAAAGTCTGAAACTGAAGGCTTTATTCTTGCAGCGCAAGACCAGAGTCTTTTCACTAGGAATTTTCAGGCAAATATCATACATAATAATGTGGATCCAAAATGCAGGTTCTGTGACAAATACCAAGAAACAATAGACCATCTAATCTCAGGATGTTCTATACTTGCCCCAAATGAATATAAAAATCGTCACGATAGAGTGGGGCAATACTTACACTGGACAATGTGCAAACACTTTGGAAAATGTGTAAGCAAACACTGGTATGAACATCGGCCAGCGCCGGTTACAGAAATAGAAGATGTCACCATTCTATGGGATTATACCATCCACACAGACAGAAAAATTGAAGCAAATAGGCCGGACATTATTGTCAAAACCAGAAAGAAAAAACTTGCCTACTAATTGATATGGCTTGTCCAGCGGATTGTAACATAGCAACCAAGGAATTTGAAAAACTATCAAAATACAAAGACCTGGAAATTGAAATAGAAAAAATGTGGAAATTGAAAAAACAAGAATAATACCAGTGGTAATAGGTGCACTTGGAATTATAAAAAATGGAACAAAACAACACATTGAAAGAATCCCTGAAACCCCAGCTTAAGAGACATACAGAAAATTGTCTTATTAAGTACAGCACACACATTAAGGAGAACTTTGTCTATGTAACGCTAGCAACTTCATCGGAGATAAAAAAAAAAAAAAAAAAATTAACATGAAATGTGGCCATAACAACACACCACGACCTGCCTTAGGTCTTTCCGCAGACTTGGTAGGTAGTGTGTCCATAGCAGAAATCGAATGATGATGATGATGACAATAATAATAATAAAGAAACTGGTATGAACACCACCCAGACCCGGTTACGGAGATAGGACCTGTTACAATTCTATGGGACTACACAATACACACTGACAGAACAATCAAGGCCAACCGGCCAGATATTGTTATTAAAGACCACAAACAAAAACGGTGTCTCCTTATTGATATGGCAGTCCCCTGCCGACTGCAATGTATCTTGAAGATATTCAAAAAGTTGTCAAAGTACAAGGACCTTGAAATAGAAATCGCGAAAATGTGGCATATGGGAACATCAACAATCCCTGTTGTAGTTGGAGCCCTAGGACTGGTTGGAAAAGATTCAGTAGACTAATTGAAGGGATTCCTGGAAGTCCATGCATCAGGAGATACAGAAAATTGTTCTGACAAGTACAGCCCACACCTTACAAAGGGCTTTATCTATGTAATTCGGTTTTTTTTTTTTTTTTGTCAGTGGAAAGTGTCATGACGCCATTTCTAACCTTAGGTCCCTGGGCGGGACCCGGAAACAAATGTGTAAACGCCAGAAATCAAAGAAAATAAAAATGATAATAATAATAATAAATGATACTGAGGAAGGTGCTGGAGATTTGTTGACAGATGCAGTCACACATTCTTCATGGATAATAAAAGGACACCTAGTGAACGCGCAGAATATAACACGTGAGGCTGACAGAATTGCTGGAGATCTGATAATTGCTGGCAATCATTCTCAAGTGTTTAACAGTAAACATCTGGTGTTCACAAGCGAATGCATGAAATGCATAAATATTTCTGGAGGGATATTTTGATTCGATATTCGCCGAATACAAAAAAAAAAAAAAAAGAAAAATAAAAGAAAAAAGAAAAAAAAAAGAAAAGAAAAGAAAAAGAGAAACCGAACGCCGGAAACGAAAAACGAATAGTCATTAATAATTTTTTTTTTTTAATCTTTTATTACACTTGGCAGTGAAGAAGAAATAATTCCAAATTAGTATTCTGCGAGTCGGAAGGATAATAACTAAAAATCCCTCTAGTTGAGTAATTATGCAAAATAAATAAACAAAAGATTTACGAAATCAAAATGAGTGAAGAGAAATTACAAATAAATTATTTGTTAATTTTTAGCATCAAGTTTAGCAAACCAAAACCTCTAGGCAGAGACCTCACCTAGAATAATGTTCGATCAAAACATTTCTGACGTGTTTTTTTCTATGTACAAGATTTTTAGGATACATTCGTATGAATAGAATATGTATTCCTTGGTTTGATTTATTTTGTTTTACGGAATATCAACCTTAGTGGGTAATTTAATGCTGACAAGATTTTTAGGCTGCATTCGTATGAATAGAATATGTATTCCTTGGTTTGATTTATTTTGTTTTACGGAATATCAACCTCAGTGGGTTATTTAATGCTGACAAGATTTTTAGGATAGGTTCGTATGAATAGAATATGTATTCCTTGGTTTGATTTATTTTGTTTTACGGAATATCAACCTTAGTGGGTTATTTAATGCTGACAAGATTTTTAGGATACATTCGTATGAATAGAATATGTATTCCTTGGTTTACTTTACTTTGTTTTACGGAATATCAACCTTAGTGGGTTATTTAATGCTGACAAGATTTTTAGGATAGGTTAGTATGAATAGAATATGTATTCCTTGGTTTGATTTATTTTGTTTTATGGCACATCAACCTCAGTGGGTTATTTAATGCCGACAAGATTTTTAGGATAGGTTCGTATGAATAGAATATGTATTCCTTGGTTTGATTTATTTTGTTTTATGGCACATCAACCTCAGTGGGTTATTTAATGCTGACAAGATTTTTAGGATACATTCGTATGAATAGAATATGTATTCCTTGGTTTGATTTATTTTGTTTTACGGAATATCAACCTCAGTGGGTTATTTAATGCTGACAAGATTTTTAGGATAGGTTCGTATGAATAGAATATGTATTCCTTGGTTTACTTTACTTTGTTTTACGGAATATCAACCTCAGTGAGTTATTTAATGCTGACAAGATTTTTAGGATACATTCGTATGAATAGAATATGTATTCCTTGGTTTACTTTACTTTGTTTTACGGAATATCAACCTCAGTGGGTTATTTAATGCTGACAAGATTTTTAGGATAGGTTCGTATGAATAGAATATGTATTCCTTGGTTTGATTTATTTTGTTTTACGGAATATCAACCTTAGTGGGTTATTTAATGCTGACAAGATTTTTAGGATAGGTTCGTATGAATAGAATATGTATTCCTTGATTTGGTTTATTTTATTTTATGGCACATCAACCTCAGTGGGTTATTTAATGCCGACAAGATTTTTAGGGTAGGTTTGTATGAATAAAATAAGTATTCCTTGGTTTGGTTTATTTGGTTTTACAGCATATCAATATTCATCAAGTGGTTGAAAGGTCAGTCCAATCATCTGGAGGACACAAGATGTCATAATTCAAAGTCTGGTAAAAAGTAAGCGAGTAATATTCAAGAAAAAAATAGATAATGTAAAATGAATATTTTTTAAATTGTGATGAGGTTGTTATGGTGTATAATGGGATTCTGATGAATATTTTTGAACGGTCTCAAATTTAACAAAAGCCAATTGATAAACCAATGACATCTTTGCTTTTGCATATGAACACGTGCAGCAAATTAAATCCTACATTGCTTTGATAAAATCTCCCAGAAAACAAAACGCGTCGGCTAAGAATAGTTTTCATCCTTTCTTTCTTGTCTTTTTGTATTCTTTTCTTTCTTTCTTCCTTTGTATCCATTTTATTTGTTTGTTTGCTTCTTTCTTTCTTTCTTTCTTTCTTTCTTTCTTTCTTTCTTTCTTTCCAGTCCTTTTCTATTCTATTCTTTCTTTCTTTCTTCCTTTGTATCCAGTTTTCTTTCTTTCTTTCTTTCTTTCTTTCTTTTATTTTTCGATTATTTTCTTCCTTTCTTCCTTTGTATCAAGTTTTCTTTCTTTCTTATTTTTTCTCTCTTTCTATTCTTTTCTTTCTTTTTTGGTTTGGTTCATTTTGTTTTACCGCATATCAACCTCAATCAGCCTATTTGACGCCGAAAATAATTTTAGGATAGGTTCGTATGAGTGGAATATGTATTCATATTTTTTTTTAAAATGTATTGCTGGTAATATTTTTACATAATATATTGCTGGCACATTCACTATAAAAATCTATTTTTACACTTTCATACCTCAGTTTGGAGTTTCCTTATTTACCCATAGCTGGGACTCCTAACAAATGCTACCACCCCGGGTCAGGGTAGATCTGAGTACAACAGCAATTAAGAGGTTGTTCGACGCTCCTCAAAATTTCCCGATCGGAGGCTTTGCTGCCGGATGTAGTTTATCGTCATACCCAGGACTTGACATGTTCAGATCAGAGTGAAAGAATAAAACAGACTGTCTTTGTATTAAACCGTTAATTCACGTACCTGCCTTCAAATGTCAGCTGTGGCTTGAAGCCATAGGCGAATTTCTTTGAAATTGTTACGACACAATCTGCCTAAATTAATATTCCTCTCTTTTTGCTGGTCCATTATTCAAATAATAAAATAAAAATAACATATCAAGGGAATGATTTCATCTTTGCTTCAAGTGCTTCGTCATATACGACTAACAATAATGTGTGTGGACTGGGGTCTTTGGGACAGCAACACACTTGAGCAAAGAGAATAAAATAATTGATAAAGAAATGTAAACTTTGGGGAACAAGTGAAAACACAACTGGGCATTGAGGATTTCCGGTCACGCGATTCTATTAACAGTGATAGTTGGGATTGAGTTGAATGCTGGATTATTCGTTAATGAAGGCAGACATTTGTGTAAGCTATTTATAAAATAAACTGATTTACATCTCAGCTTTTTTTGTAATGTTTATATACTCTTAATTATAATTATAGTATCTCTCCGGAGCCTACCGGCCGTTAACTTGGGAGGCAGTCGAGACGCAGTCTCCGACTGTGTGTGACTTCTGTCGAACTCTCTGCTTTGGCAAAGAGGAACCCGGACGAAGCTTTGCCCTTCGGCAAAGCTTTGTCCGGGGAGGTAGACAGATCCCGAACTCGCTTATGCGGGTTAAAAGGGAATATTTTTGGCCGAGCCTACGGGCTCGGAGAAACCCACGTTAAACTCGGCCTTGTGCCACATACATTCCTCGTGGGGGGGACTGTTAAATATATACTCTTAATTATAAGATAAGGAGAGATGAGAGATCTTTTTCTCTTGGCTAATTTGTAGCACTATAGTTGGGGCACACGCATAGAAGGGAATGATGTATGACTTTTATGTCAGTCTCAAGCCTTTCGTAGTTTATGACCAGCGATAAAATCTGGGAGATATGATCTTCATAGCAGCCACCCACTCGACCGAAAAGAAATAAAAGAGTAAATAAATAAATAAATAAGTGAAGACTGTTGGAATCAAATAACCACAAAACCGGATATAAAGTATTTCCGGTCACGGACCTATAGTAACGGCCACAGTCGAGGTTGAGTTGAGTGCTGGTACGACCTTGGCGGTGGACAGACTGCTTCCTCAGATAGTTTCGATGCCACTCGTTAGAGTTTGCCAGACAGTGATTTGGTAGGGTTGGAATTTGAAAGGAAGCATTGATCTGTTAGTCCAAAATAGCAGAAGTCGACCCGATTGCCACTTGTCTATCGAACCAGACCAACCAAGTGATGGCCTGAAATTAAAAAAAGCTAAATTTGTAACAAGATATAACAAGACTGGATTAAACTACTGAATGTCTATCTATCACGTCGGGTTTCGAGTTGTTGTTGTTTTTTTTTAAATCTTAATAAACGTAGCAGCGTTTCCAAAAGAATTTAGGCAGCGATCCTGTATGCAAAATTATTTTGGCCTGGCGACCCTTATGATTGGAACATATCTTAGATATTTGGCTTGAGGTTACCTAAATTTAATAATCAATAAATCTGAATATATCTCATAATGATGGAAGAAATTGGAAGGCTTAAATTCTTATGTGCACCACAACACTTTTTTCTAAACGTCATTAGTATGGAAGAAACGAGACACTGAGATTATATCAGGCTCCATTCGCCAGAGCGTCCGAGTACTGAACAGGAAATAAGCGGACAGCGTCAGGTATTTACAGAGTTCTATCGATTCGTTGTTATTCACAATTAATTTCCAACTTCTGTCTGCAACCGCAGCAAAGGTAAAACAACCCGGTAAAATGGGCCATCTCCCAGTAACAGATACAAACTCATTTAGGAACGATAAATATCTGAACGATAAATATCTCCAAACCAAATAAATGCTTATAGACTCAAATAAAAATGGCTAATATTTACGTGTGCCTGAACCAAGTAGGTGCTTATAGACTCAAGTATAAACGTCAACTATTTTCCCACCCTAAACTAAGTAAATGCTTTACACACTGAAATATAGACGACCAGTATTTACCAATATAAAATAAATGTTATCAATCTCTAACGTAAAAAGAGAGTTTTCGTCGTTAAATAATCCAACAGGTGTCGGCATGATCAAAAGTAACCAACCAACTAAACCCAAACTATTTTCTTGTTCCAGAGCCTTCGTAAATTCTAACACACACACACACACACACACACACACACACACATATATATATATATATATATATATATATATATATATATATATATTGTGTATTTAGGCAGCATCTTTTCATTTATACACGTTTCATTAAATAATATGGACAAGTGTTGTTAGACGTTATGAAAAGAGTTTACATAAAATAAATAGACAACACTTGTTTATATTATTTAATGAAACATGTATAAATATATATATATATGTATATATATATATATATATATATATATATATATATATATATATATATATATATAGTCCTGTTCGATAAAAGTGACTCACCTGATTTTTTTTTACTAAAAATATTTTTTGTCTATTGTTTTTGGGGTTAAAATAATTTTTAATCTTACTAATATAAAGACCCCTTCCCGACCACGTAGGACAAAAGTTTATTCACCCTAAGTTATTCTTTTGATAATTATAAATTTGGATATCAATGGGATTCAGGAAAAAACTCTGTGCAAAAAAAGTGACTCAAATATCGCATTCTAATGATTAAACTGGTAAATTTAAAGAGCTTTTGACAAAATATTGAAAACTATTTTACAATACACTCAGAACAATATTCTAGACAATTCTAGAACAGCTTAAATTAAATCTAGAGTATTTCTGAATATTCCAGAAAGCCTCATACAGTATAAAAACAGCTTGAAATAGCCACTCAAGTCACTAACCAGATGAAACGGTACAAACACGCATCAGAATCACTTAAGGCATCTATTATTGCCCTCTAAAAAGCAGGCAAGTCTACGAGAGAAATTGCAGAAATTGCTATAACCTCACAATCAACTGTCTCTCGAGTGCTTAGGGCACATAATGATGCCAGTCCTGTTCCAAGGAAGGAAACAAGGGGACGAAAGAAAAAGATTGATGATAGAACAGGCAGGGTAATCAAGAGAGAAGTTGCGAAGAATAGGACTATAACTAGCCAAGAAATTGCAGCCAGTCTAAGCGAAGAGCAAGGTGTTAGTCTTGCCTCGTCAACAGTCCGGCGGTGGCTGTTAGAACAAGGCTACAAATCTTGTACACGAAGGTTTAAGCCGCTAACAAACAAAGCAAACAAAGCCAAGAGACTTGAATGTGCTCACTATTACAAAAACTTCACCGTAGAAGACAGGAAGAATCTTCTCTTTTTTGATGAAACGAAAGTTGAGCTAAATTCAAAGGATAAGGTGAGTCACTTTTATCGAACAGCACTGTATATATATATATATATATATATATATATATATATATATATATATATATGTAAAGGAGGAACGGTGGAATAATAAATTGAGGAATCGGAGAGCCGAGTTTGAGTTCCAGTCGAATCCATTCACTTAACTGCTAATACCCTTGGGAAAGGTATGAATCTTCTTCTCCTCCAGCTATGGTTAGATAGCAGCACAGACGGGGTTTTATAGCCTTGGATGGCAACTGGTCTAGGAGGGTCGTTTAGGGAATTTCGGCCCTTCAAAATGTGTGTATGGTCCTGACAAAACCTTCACCGCTATCATCAAATCTCATAGGTGGGGTCTGGCTAGCGGTTCCTGGAACCGGCAGCCAGACACTAGCATATGAGACATACGCAGGAGAGTCGAATATATATATATATATATATATATATATATATATATATATATATATATATATATATATATTCGTAGAATCCATGGTAGCAGAAAAGTTGGTTTTCAATTTTCTCTTAAAATTGTTAGACATTTTTGTTTTTGAAAAACACTTTTTTCATTTATTTGGCCTTTTTTCTTGACTAATATTGATCTTTGTCAAAAGTTTGATATTTTGAATATATATATATATATATATATATATATATATATACAGTGTAACCCGGATATAAGAGACCCGGATATAAGGGAAACCCGGATATAAGAGAGATTTTCTCTGGTCCCAAATTAGAGCCTGTGTTAATGTATATAAAATAGACCAAACCCGGATATAAGAGAAACCCGGATATAAGAGACTTCTTCTCCGGTCCTGACAACTCTCTTATATTCAGGTTACACTATATATATATATATATATATATATATATATATATATATATATATATATATATACTCTGTCCCAGACATTGAGTTCTACCTGGATTCTATCCTCTTGGATTTATTTTTATACAAATATATATGTATGTGTATGTATGTATGTATATATATTTATATATTTTAGATATATGATTGCATATGTATGTGTATATTTACCCTAATATTATCTCTCTCCTCTCTCTCTCTCTCTCTCTCTATATATATATATATATATATATATATATATATATATATATATGAATGGGGATCAAATAAAAATTAGGTATGTGTTAGAATCCGGCAAAATGATAGGATAAAGAAGAAACAGGAAATTTTTATAAATCTAACATGTTTCGCATTTATTAAAGCTTCATCAGAGAATGAGATATGGATTTATTTTTATCCATATCTCATTCTCTGGTATCTTTAATTTTGGCGTGGTTTGTCTTTCATTGGCTAAGCAGACTTCACGTGCATTTTGTCTTGTAAAGCAGCGTTCGTGTCGTGTATATTTAGGTCGCATATTTTCATTCAAACAGGTTTAGTTAAATAATTTAGGCGTTTAGTTTTCGTTGCTATCCTTTCAAGTTCACGGATTCACTTTTGGTAGATTCATAAAGTCAAGTAAGAAAAGTACCAAAATTTTGGTATTTTTCTAACTCAATGTTCTTAATCTACCAAAAAAAAAAAAATGAAATAAAAAATTTAAAAAAGTTTAGTAATTTTAAAAAAAATTAGTATTATTCTTCCCTTTCTAAATCTATCAAAAAATTAATTCGCAAACTTGATAGGGTACTTTAATTCAATTTAATTCAAATAATTATATTGAAGTTTTCGGTTCTTGTTTTGAAACATGAGAACTCTTATGTAGCGTGTTGGAATCATATTTTTAAATAAATAATTATATTTATGCTCTACTTTTGTATCGAGCACTATTTTTTAAAAAATAATAACAAAAATACTAAAGAACTTTGGATCATTTACCTAACCAGTTCTTTTCTGTTTTCTATATATTTTCATATATATATATATATATATATATATATATATATATATATATATATATATATATATATATATATGATAAAATATAGTTTTGAGGTACGCTATATTTATGGGATAGACGTATGTAAATATAAAAGTGGGTATTGTATTGAAGGTTGATATTCAATACCAAAGCAAGGATGCCATTGGTTTGTCAAGGCTTTTTAAATTTAAGAACGTTCATGAATATTCATTAGATGGTTGACATGCGGAGGACACAAGTTATCATAATTCAAAGCCCGATAAAAAGTAAGCAAGTAATATTCAAGGAATATATATATTTTTAAATGAATATTCTTGAAATTGTGATTATATTTTTATGGTATGAGATTTTGACTTATATTTCCATCACCTGATGAATATTTATGAAGGTTCTCAAATTTAAAAAAAAAAAGCCGATTGATAAACCAGTGACATCCTTGCTTTTGTATATAAACCTGGGGAGCATAATAAATCCTAGATTGCCTTGATAAAGTCAAAAAGGGGACAAAACGCGCCGACTAAGAATGGTTTTCTTTCTTTCTTTCTTTCCAGTGCTTTTCTATTCTTTTCTTTCTTCTTTTGTATCCATTTTTGTTTGTTTGTTTGCTTGTTTGTTTGTTTGTTTGTTTCTTTCTTTCTTTCCAGTCATTTTCTATTCTTACCTTCTTTCTTTCTTTCTTTCTTTCTTTCTTTCTTTCTAGTCATTTTCTATTCTTACCTTCTTTCTTTCTTTCTTTTTTTCTTTATTTCTAGTCATTTTCTATTCTTACCTTCTTTCTTTCTTTTTTTCTTTCTGTCTAGTCATTTTCTATTCTTTCTTTCTTTCTAGTCATTTTCTATTCTTACCTTCTTTCTTTCTTTCTTTCTAGTCATTTTCTATTCTTTCTTTCTTTCTTTCTTTCTTTCTTTCTTTCTTTCCCGTCATCTTCTATTCTTCTTTCTTTCTTTCTTTCTTTCCAGTCATTTTCTATTCTTTCTTTCTTTCTTTCTTTCTTTCTTTCTTTCTTTCTTTCTTTCTTTCTTTCTTTCTTTCTATTCCTTCTTTCTTTCTTTCTTTCTTTCTATTCCTTCTTTCTTTCTTTCTTTCTTTCTTCTTTTGTATCCATTTTTGTTTTTTTTGTTTGTTTGTTTCTTTTTTTCTTTCTTTCTTTCTATTCAGTCATTTTCTATTCTTTTCTTTTTTCTTCCTTTTATCCAGTTTTCTTTCTTTCTTTCTTTTTCTTTCTTTCTTTCTTTCTTTCTTTCTTTCTTTCTTTCTTTCTTTCTTTCCAGTGCTTTTCTATACTTTTCTTTTTTCTTTCTTTCTTTCTTTCTTTCTTTCTTTCTTTCTTTCTTTGTTAATTAAATTCCTCCAACATTTTATCCAGACGATATTTAATCTTCCTCTTTTGAAAATCTAATATTAATAAAATTATTCACGATATTTCTGGCACGTGCTTTGTCTTTTTCGTTTGAATCGTCAGCGACACGAGACAATGTGTCTTATTTTCGTCTCTCCCAATTTCAATGGTACCAACTTACATCTCTAAGCTTCTTCAATCCGGATAAATAAATCATTTATTCGTATCTGTGTATTGTTCGGTATTCATCTCGTCAACACAGTCGTTGGTATTGAACCGACGAGGGGAAAAAAAGGTTAAGGTGGTAATGATTGCCTCGTTAAAGGATTTCTCTTAAATTCTCTTAAATTCTGAACGACAATGATTAGTCAAACAGGGACCCACAAACGGAATGGTAACCCTGAGGGTGGGACTCCCGAGAAAACCACATAAAGAACAAGCTTTGTTTTGATTAGTTTTCTGTTTGGAATAAATATCCCTCGATATCCCTCAAAATGAGACGGGCAGATGGTATAAAGATGGATGAATAGAAGCAGAAAGAGAGAGAGAGAGAGAGAGAGAGAGAGAGGAGAGAGAGAAAGAGAGAGAGAGAAAGAGAGAGGGGAGAAAAAAGAGATAAACGGAGAGTTACAAAGAGAAAGTCGAAACAGCGAAAGTAACAAAAGAGAAAGTGAGAGAAATAGACAATATATATATATATATATATATATATATATATATATATATATATATATATATATATATATTGAACAATGAAAAAAATATAAAAATTAAAATCGTTAGACACACCGGGTTGTAGATTAATATTCTTTCGTTTTTTTTTATTATTTCATTTAGATTCCTCGACTAGTTTCGACCAACATTGCCATCATCGGGAGGAGAAATATTTCTGCTTGCTGGTAGCAGTAAACTACAGAAATGTATCTTTCGCTGGAGAAAATGAACTTTTGTCTGTAGTTTTCATTTATATATATATATATATATATATATATATATATATATATATATATATATATATGGTTATATATGTGTGCGTGTGTGTGTGCGCGCACGGCTATATATGAGTGGACACATATCTCTATATATAACGTTGTATGTTCTATCTGTCTGCTGGTCTGTTTTCGAACTCCTAGGGATTTAGAGAAACACCCCCATAACCATATATATACTGAAACTTTATTACCATGGTACTTGGATAAGTATATTTCATTTTGATCAAAGGGAGTCCCCTTTGATTTAAATTAAATTTAAATTGGAACAAAGAAATGACTCCTATCCAAATTAAAGAAGGAGAAAGCCAGAAGATAGAGGTCACATCGGTGAGATCAAAATGCGACCATATGGACGTCAAGTTGGGCAAGAAATCACCAATCAGTGGTTAGTGCCTTACAATACATATTTTTTGCCACAATTCAACTGTTACATCAATTCATTCAATCAAGTACTGTATAAAATATGTATCAAATGGGTCAGATCAATTTGCTTTTGCACACAACCCCCCCTCCGAATATATATTCCCTTTGATTTAAATTATATTTAGATTTGAACAAGAGAAAGATAAATCCAGAAGATGGAGGTCACTTCGGCAAGATCATTGAGTAATACTGAAATGCATCATTTTTCTCCACAAATTATAAAAAAGATTTAAAATGAAAACATTTTCTTAACCAAAAATATGTGACACGCAGCAAGGTGCGGGTAATTCGGTTAGTATATATATATATATATATATATATATATATATAATAAAGAGAAAGAACAGTAATATATATAATCAGGTGTTCTTATTGATATTTTTATTTTTACAAAAGAGTGCTCAATCTAAATTTACAGAGCATAAATATTATAAATTAACAGATTTAAAAAATACGGTTGCATCGCTACACAGGAATTACCATGTTTCAAAACAGCAACCAAAAACTTTAACTTCTATTAAATTAAAAGTATATATATATATATATATATATATATATATATATATATATATATATATATATATATATATATATATTCGAATAGATATGTGTTCAAAAGCACTATTCGTTACAAGAAGTCCTACGTGTCCAACAGGTCATGGCTCGTCAGATCAAATACATACAATAGGAATGAAGATTACTTCATGGTTATGATCATTTCATCTTACAAATTAAGATTAATTTGTATGGATTTTCAAACCCATTAGGTTAATAAGAAAAAATGAAATGAAAGTGGCTTAAAAGAAATTTTAAAAGCCAGGCAAAAGCAAAGAAAAGATAAACGAAAAAAGGAAGAAAAAAAAAGAAAGAAAGAAAGAAGAAAGTAGAGAGAAGAAATATCATTACTAATTAAAATAAAATTATAGAGTAATAATGATAAATCAAAAATTAAATAGAAATAAATATAAAAACTGATAAATAATAAATGACTAGCAGTAGAGCCCGGCGTTGCCCGGGGATGTAACAGTAAGAGATAGATCAAGTATCAACCATCATAAAGACTGAAAAATAAAATTGACAAAGATTATTGTTTAAGGTTGACGGACACGCATGTCTTAATTAGTTTTTTTTTTACGAATTGGTCAAACCCAAACTCAAACAAAAGCATTGTTTCCAATCGTTATGCGTCTACCGATTGAATAGAATTTTATTATAATCACTTGTCTTGTAAATGGAATTTTTAAAGCATTATGAATGTAAAAATAAAGAAAAAAGTGTGCAAGACAATAAGAAACACTACCTGCCAAAAAAAAAGTGAAGTTTTGTTGAAATCGGTTGAAAAATGTAGGAAATCCCATCCGGTATAAAAACGAACAGAGACACACACTCCCAAACAACCTGGGTTTTATAATAAGTATAACTCGACATGAGTTGTTCCCCTTTCATTCTCGACAGCGATGCCTCTTAATTGTTTTCAAATTGATTTCGTGCAAAAACAATTGTGTTTTTCCGATTTTTGGCGCTGTCAGAACCACCGCAAGGTAATTTTACGTAGTCCTTTGAAGTTTTGTTGAAATCTGTTGAAAAATGTAGGAAATCCGATCCAATATATAAACGAAACACACACACACACACACACACACACACACACACACACACAACCTGAGTTTTATAATAAGTATGATGACTATAGAAACCTTATAGTAAATATATAAAAATAGGAATATATGTTCTTTTTTAATTTAAAATGAAGAATATTAGATGATACATTTCCTAAAAAGAAAATGATTAAATCATTATATATTTTTCTTTTAATATATAAATAATTCTGGAATTTTTCTCATTAATATAAATATATAATTATTTCTCTTAATATTGAATTAATAGTAATTTGTTAATATAAGTTTAAATATATTTTCCCCTAATTTTCCACTCCAGTTTTACTCATTGAAATTGAGGTGAATATTATAATTGTTGAAGCTTAAATAAGCATGGAATAATACAACACAAAATGTACGTTAACAAAATGTATTGAAACAAAGAATAGGTACACAATATTTACAGTTAGTTTGGTATATTCTTGGGAAGACTGTTCCTGCATAATGGGTTGACTAAATCGCAGTCGGGCAGAGTCTCTGGATTCAATTTCTTAATCTCTACTATCTTCCCCGTCTTCCGGTACCAACCCATATTTATATGGTCGATAGTCCGCTTATGTAAATTAGGTGTATCATACACAACAATAATATAAATCAGCTCACTCTACATGTATCTATTTCCTCATACCGTTCCCATGTCTAGACATTACTACCCTCCCTGTACTTTCTTCTTTCTCCCTTTCTTCCCTTTCCTATCTTGTCTTTTCGCTGTTTCTTTTACACTGTTCCCGTTTTTCTTTTCTTTGTTTCTGTCTGGGTTTTAAAATTAGTTTTAAGCCAATTTCATTTTATTTTTTCTTATTAACCAAAATGGTTTGAATATCCTTACAAAGTAATCTTAATTTAATTAATTGTATGTAATTTACGTGTTCAGTTTGAATAAAGCATTAAGCTCTCTATGTGAATCAGTTTTAATATTTTATATTATATTATTAGGATACACTTGGATTATATATCAACGGATTATTACATAAACAGTACTGTTTGCGACTGACGTAATTTAGGTCTTGAAAAGATATTTTCAACCGAGCACTGTTGAATGACAAGCTAATTCTAAAAACAACGGTCACCTGCGTAGATGCGAAGCTCTTCAGTAAAAATGAATGGAGCACTATGGCTGCTTGGCAATTTGTTTATATTTGTAAAAACAACACGCTAGAGCTGGCTGACTCATTCTGTCGAGATGGCTCAGTGGTAGACGCTCTGAATGACACCAAATCGGTTGGGTTTCGATCCGGGCTTGAGGCATTTGGATGTCTAGTGGCACTAAAGAGCTGTGATACTGTCTGCAAATGACGCATATATATATATATATATATATATATATATATATATATATATAGAGAGAGAGAATTAGTGGTAAATATATGCAAAATATATATACATATTGCATAACCATACATGTATATTTTTTAATAAAAATTCCAAGAGGATAGAATCCAGGTAGAACTCAATGTCCAGGACAGAGTAAGGATATAATAAAAAGGCTTATACACTAATATTCCATGGTCATAATTTATTCCATTGGAATCGTAAATACGATCCAATTCATCGGACCTACAAATTCAAAAAGCTTTTTGAATTTGTAGGTCTGATGGAATATTAGTGTTTAAGCATTTTTATTATATATATATATATATATATATATTTATGTGTGTGTGTGTGTAAGTCATTTGCAGACAGTGCTATATATATATATTCTAATTATCTCCATTGAACTCAAATTAGGCAGTTTTCTTTCTTGCTAATTTCTATTTACTAATGCTCACCTAATATAAGACCCAAGAGCAACTCAAATTAGAAGGTTATTGTATGGTGTTGTATGAGCATAAGAAAAAAACGCGATGTGAAGTTTAAGTGGGCATGCAGGAGAGATAATATTTAACTTTGGACTTCAAGAAGTTAAAATTGTTGCGGTTGGGAAGGCACAAGAGAATGGACAGGACTTCGACGGAACCGGAAACCTAATCCTAAACGGGGTACAAGTTATAAACCTCTACTCCTGTTCAAGGACTGTGAACCACAAGATAGGCGAACCTATCAACTCCTATTGAGAAAAGAAAAATCTCCAGTTAACATTTACAGAAACAAAAAAAGTTTAAAACAATTTTTCAAACATTTTTCGTGGGGAAAAAACTCGGGTTTCTTTAAACATAGTGTTGGAGTAGACTTTAGAATCAACTGGAAACCCAATCTTAAACTGGGAAAAAAAGCAAAAAAAAAAAGCACACAAGTCCTGTTCAAAAACCAGATATATCAGTATCAATTTTTGAATGATACTAACAGAAGGGATGGACACAGAGCTTTCGTAAAAACATGGTATTTTGGTGACCTTCTTTATCTGGATAAATGCCTAGTCACTCTCACACACGATAGTTGAACGAAAAGAAGAAAGTAAGGGATGTTCTTCTGATGCTGATCCAGTATAACATACGTAATGTAATCATATAAAAATTACCTAAGCTTTGCCAGGAACATCAATAAAATTATAACTCTATAAAGAAATGCCTTACGAGTGCATTGTGTTGACGAAAAGTCTTTAATTTCCTCTATACTGTCTCTGGTCATTCTATATCTTTAACTGATCTTCTGCGTGATGTTATGTAAATCTTCGAAACGTCTTCTGAAGTTTACTCATTGTTTGTACGCTGCCTAATCAGCCAGCATTCGTATATCGTTTAAACGGCAGCTGAATATTTTCAGAAGCGAGGAGTCTTTTCACGACATCGCCACTGGCTCCAAGAAATGAGTTCCATTCGCCAAAATGACAGTTTTATGGCAAACATTAGAAATAGCACCGCAAATTTATTACACCTCGCACGTAGGAAGAATATGAGACAATCAGACATTCTCTTTAATGAAGTTTCACTCCCCGCACAGATAAACACATACACGCACAAAAATGGAATACTGTTGCTATATTTGGCCGGGAGCTGCCCAGTCCCCACTTTCCAGTCACGTTAGACTTCAAAAGCGAATCCGAGTCCTTGTGGATGACGAATTAATTCCCACCCTCCAACCTCTCTCACACTGGCGGGGGATGTGGTGAGCCTCTCGCTGTTTTATCGCTAGTTCCATAGAAAATGATCGGACAAACCTGGTTCCGCCAGATTTAACCTTCACGGTATCGGCACCCCCCTCCCACTGTCATTGTTTGCCTCAAACCTTTTCTCTTTCTCCTTGCTTCATCGTCGTTGCTACCCTGTGAGCGACGACATAACACTTTCGCTGCCGAGGCACGTGACGGTTTTGAAACGAACATCCATTCAAAAGTCTTTGGGCGGTTGACATTTTGCCGCCAGTCAAACAGCCACGTGACTCATCGGATAACCGCCAAAAAGTATCCACGGGTGAGAGACGACCTGCGGGCATCGAGTCGGGAAGACGTGTTTTTACATCTCTCTCTGCACATAAGCTTCAACCGCCTAGACTTCGGCGATAGACCTTTTTCATAGTCAATTCGTTTGCCGAAGCTACCTTCCATCAGTGTAGATTCGGTCTAAGCCCAACTTTCTGACCTAACCTTCTGTCGAGAGCAACAAGCATTCCCGTCATAAACCTCAGTATCGAACGGACCTGCCTAAACAACAAGTAAGTCAGATATCCACAAACTTCCACGGGTAAGAGACGACCTGCAGGCATCGAGTCGGGAAGACGTCTTTTTACATCTCTCACTCTGCACATAAGCTTCAACCGCCTAGACTTCGGCGATAGACCTTTTTCATAGTCAATTCGTTTGCCGAAGCTACCTTCCATCAGTGTTGTAGACTCGGTCTTAGCCCAACTTTCTGACCTAACCTCCTGTCTAGAGCAACAAGCATTTTCATCACTAACCTCAGTATCGAATGGACTTGCCTAAACAACAAGTAAGTCAGAAATCCACAAGCTTCCACACGTGGTACCTATACTTTCTAGATCTCTCCATCTTTTTGGTCAATATTTCTTACAGGCAACGAACGCTTTTGCAGCTCAGTACAGCTCAGTGATCTTGGTGATATTCCTCGGTCGAAATCTCACTACGGACCGAATTAGTTCTGTCATTAAGTTACCTCTGATTTTTCCTTTTCTACCAAAAAAAGGACTTTCTTAGATAAATCTGCCTCCCTTATACTGCTTATTCAAAAAAAAAAAAAAATAAATAAATAAAAATAAAAGAAGGAAACTTTCCATATATCCTTTCTCCACGTTTTGGACCTTTCCTTCTCCAAAGACAATTGGCGCCAACATTACTACGTTTTTGGCGCGCAACAGCCTCCGACCATTAACGTCAGCCTCACATTGTGCAGATTTGGTTGAACCGCCTTTCCAGAGACCAAGAACTCTTCTTTGCATTCCCCCCTCTACTGCACCCTGCCAAATTTATTGTTGAAGAAAAAAAAAATTACATCTTGTTATGCCTTTTCTTATCTAATGGTGTTTGTCCACTTTTTACATTGCTAACTTGTGATGAACCATTGATGTTCTAAGGGAATATCAAAATATTCTTATACGAAGAAGTTTGGTAGTCTGACACAAGGCCATTCGCAAGAAACCGCACTAGGCAACCAGGCTCCTCCTATAACGGCTAGGACCCGCCATGCCACTTGCATAGTAACAAACCACCCATTGTCGGAGTTAATCCATTTCGTAATATAGTGATTTTCCAAGAGTAGCTTGGATGTGGCATAAGACCGAAAGTATGGGGAACCCAGTGAGGATCGAACTCACTACTCAGTCGTAAGTGTTCTAGCGAAACGAGCTTACTAACCATTAGACCAACTCTAGGCGCCTGCCCATTTCATAATATATGATATCATTTGTTGACGTCAAGATACGCTTCGAGAAGATATGAGCGTTCGAGAGAAATCGTGGAAAAATTTGTTGTTTAAAAACAGTAATGTGACTTTGCTAACCAGTCGCTTCCGCTATAGCTAAATATTATAGCACGTCAGGCTATAAGACGATATCGTGTAAGATACAGGTTCGATTCCTGTCGGAGGACACATATTTTCTATGAAATTTCTCGGACATTCAGGCTGGTAAATATAGTTAATACTGTTTATTATAAACAGGGCATTTACTTAAATATTTGTATCTATGAAAATAACGCATAAATAGAATATATATATATATATATATATATATATATATATATATATGCTGAAAATATGGAAAAAATTATCAGTGAAAAGTCAGATTATTTAAAGAAATGCACACACACACACACACACACACACAAACGCCGTGAGGTAAATACGGGATGACGCAAACATGGATGCGTACACATATAGAGGAAATCTTATGCCATAAAATGAACAAGTGACATTCATTCACTTAATGAAAACAAAACAAAATAGTCTATTGCTAAATATTACCATACTAACTCAACTCGTCTCTTAAATCAATTCTCTGCCCAAATTATTAAATATCTATCTATCTATCTATCTCCGTCTGTTCCTTCTTTCCTATCTATCTATCTATCTATCTATCTATCTATCTATCTATCTATCTATCTATCTACACTTGTACAAATTAATTGAAACAACCGCTTTAGTTTCCTTTCTTTTGCCATACAATCAGTTTTAGACCGACTGGAGTGACAGGGTGTAATCGGTTTCTATTTTTTCTAAGATTAGGTCATTTGTAGTGGTGTGTAGTAATATTAATCTATTTTTGAGGTGTATGATGAAATTCATTGCTCCTTGAAAAATATTGCGTCATCCGTGACTGCAGCAGATTTTTATCACGCCCAGACACTATTGTCTCGACTGTCGATTAGTTTTCTTACGATCATTGTCTGCGATGAACTTTATTCCAAGGAAACGTACGAAAATTCAAACGCTGCGAGAACTCACTAGCAAGCCTTACCAGTGAGCAACTCAAGGTACTATAGACAGGCCCAGAAACTCTGTGGTCAGTCTGCGTGGAACGACTTCGTGGAATCGACATACGAAGTACTAACACATGCACTGGGTCATGTTTCATTGTAAAAATACTAAATCTATATATCTACCTCAGTCTGTTTTAATAAAGTTCTAATCTATGCTATATTTATAGATGAAAGTGATCAATATCAAGAATAGAGCGTATGTAAATATAAAGGTGGACACTGTGATCAACACTGAGCGGCGACAGTCAAGAAATCAACAACAAATAGTTACGGAATCAATAATAAATAACGGGTAAAAAAAATTAACAAACAGTACAAATAACCGTACTTGGATCCACAATTATTCCTAATGAATAGCCTCTAGTATAATTGCTTTAAATTATACTAGAGGCTATTCAATAAATTATACATGAGGCTATACTAGAGGCTATTCATTATTGCTTGCCCAATAAATGTTAAGGTAATATAATAGACCTTATTACCTATAATGCACTACTGACCAGCATATATAGTCGAGTCAAAAACAACACATGATGGCCTGAAGATTGTATTCAAATATGTAACATACTGTCACCGTTAAGGTAACTTACTTTAGACAAATCCAATACCTTAAACTAAAAAAATAAGAGAACCAACTCACAAGGAAAAAAATTAACTACAAATGCTGTCATAAACACAAGTAAATGTAATAATAATAAACAACAAATCGGTAATCAACAATAATGAGTAAAAAGCTAAAATAGCAACAAATAATTGCATTCAGATCCACAATTATTTCCACTCAATAGCCTGTAGAATGATGTGAAACATAACCGTTACCCCCACGCAATAACCATTAGGATAATACAATAGACCTTATTACCCATAATGAACCATTGACCAACATATACAGTTGAGCCAAAACACAACACAAGATGGTCTGAAGATTGCATTCAATCATGAAATATACTGTCACCGCTTGGTGGTGACTTCAATGTCCACTTATGTTTTATATTAACATACGTTCTCTCTCTGATATTGAGCACTTTTACTCAGAAATATAGCATACCTTAAACATATATTTTTATCATATATAAAATAAATAAAGAGAAAAGGAAAACTTTTCTTTATCGATGCATTTTGTCCGCTGTTGGACAAGTCAAATGTAAGGCTTTTATTTTTTGTAACAAGTAATTATAAACAGAAGCAAAAATTTCATTGTGTTTTCATCAGAAGACAAAATGCATTGGTAAAGAAAAAGTTTTCTTTTATTCATATTGTCTTTTAACAGATATCCTTTTTATTTATATCTGAACCTTTACACAAGCACACACACACACACACACACACACACACACACACACACACATATATATATATATATATATATATATACTCATTCATAATGGGGACCAGTGGATTAAAACAATAATGACCATTTTGACATCACTATGGGATCTTTAGACTCTGCAGAGTCTTCTGATCTTGTCGGTCTTTTAATACTGTACAACCTGACCGCGCATCGTGAATTAGATATTAAGGACATCGGGCTGTATAGAGATGACGGGTTCATGGTAGTGAGGAGTTCCACTAATTTTAAAATAGAGAAAATTAGAACGATTATATATAGTGAATTTAGAAATCTAAATTTAAAAACAACAGTCTGTACTAAATTAAAAAGGGTAAATTTCCTTGACGTAACTCTAGATTTAACAAACAACACATACCTACCTTATAGAAAACCTAATACTAACCCCTTATATATACACCCTAAGTCAAACAACCCTCCATCCATAATTAAGCATATACCCTCATCAATAGAGAATAGAATCTGCATTAACTCCGCTAATAAAGAAATATTCCAACAACACAGTCAATTTTATAATGCAACACTAAAAAATAGTGGATACAAAAATGCTAACATCAATTATAGAAACAATTGTACTAACCAGAAGAAAAATAGGAAAAGAAAAATCATTTGGTATGCCCCTCCGTTCAACCAAATGGTTAGTATTAAGCTAGGACAGAAATTCCTAGTTTTAATTGAAAAACACTTTCCTACAAATAGTAGACTTAGTAAAATATTTAATAGAAACACCCTAAAATTAAGTTACAGTTGCACTGAAAATCTAGAAAGTATAATAAAAAACAATAATAAAATCCTGAATAAACCCCCATGCCATAATAGTATTAATAAAAACCTTGCACTTAAATAGACAAAAATAGTGAAAAATTATGTGATTGTAGAAACCCAGAAGACTGCCCATTGGAAAATATATGCTGCGTAAAATCTGTGGTATACCAATATACTATCTCATCCATTGAGAGTCCTAATACTAATATGATATACATTGGGTCTACGAAGAATGAATTTAAAACCAGATGAAGGCAGCATAAGTGCTCCTTCAACAATATTAATAAAAGAAATCAGACATCTCTATCTAAATATTTTTGGCATGTGATGGAAATAAATAAAACACCAAAAGTAAAATGGAAAATTATAAACAAAACTAGAACTTGGGATGACCATGACCCATGCCCTTTATGCCTACATGAAAATCTACACATTATCAAGTTTCTAAATAATAAAAATTTATTAAACAATAGACATGAGTTAACGGTTTTTTGCCGACATCATCAAATGTTCGCATTGAATAATTAACATAAAAAACAAACAAACAGTAAAATAATAAATACAAATTTTCAACTCCATAGTCTAAATAAAAAGTTTAAATGCCCTACCCAGTAAAAAAAAAAAAAAAACTCTATGAAGTCGTCAAAAAAACAAATGTTAGCGAATTATGACAGTTTTAGGTTTTTTTATATACACAAAACCCTTTCAGGAAAAAAAAAATGAAAAAATAAATAAAGCTAAAAACTTCAAATTTAATTATATAATTAAATTAAAAGCATCATTTCCGTTTCATCTTCAAGTGATTTTTTATTTTATTTTATGCTCTGTAAATTTACATTGAACACTGTTTGGTAAAAATAAAAAATATATCAATAAGAACACCGGATTATATATCTTACTGTTCTTTCTTTATATATATATATATATATATATATATATATTGCCTGTAAGCGATACTAGATATTTCCTCTTTCTCTCCACTAAGACGAGTTGTGACACAAGGTCTTGTTTTTTTGAAGGTGGGGACCCGAGCCCTTGCACCCGGGACAGGAACAAAATTACCCGCAGCCCCGGCAACCGTCGGTTGTGCTGTCCCTGGTACGAGCACCGATCCTCTCTCTCTCTCCCGGTGCAATTGAAAGGCGCTGTTCTCCAAATGGGTACTTCTCAGTATAATTGTAAGCCATACTATGATTTGACCCAAGCTTTTAAAGTGAAAATGAATTTATAAAACTGTTTAGGGGCTGTCAATAGTTGTGCTAGCACATGATGTCGTGACCTCTGACATACAGTTGGATGGGACACAAACAGATTCCACAGACCAAAACAGTTTATGAAGGCAATGGTCACTTGTTCAGTCTGAGACAATTAGAACTGGCTTATCAAATTCTACTTCGAAGTATCGAAGAAAATATGGCTGAACAGCAATCTCTGTTCTTTGCTCAGCAACTGCTGGGGGTGATGTTAAATCATTTATACTGCTTACTTAATGATGCCGTTTCATTTTGAAAAACCTTCAACCAGACAACATCCCTGATGACGAGCAACATGAAACTGATCAAGCAATGGATATTGTTATGGATTATATCTCCAATGTCCGAAGCTATATGACATATTTGGGTCAAAAAAAAGACAGAACACAGTGGACGAAGATGATGTGCCATCTGGGATGAATCATTCTATAGTTAGTATAGATCAGGAGAGCAGCAGCACTGGCCAGATATGGATGTTATGGTAAGTAAATTAGCTTATGTTAGTTTTTGTATGTATATGAACAACACTGATGTGTAAATATTTATGGGAAATTAAAAACAAAAACCAAATTACACCAAGAATATCATGGAAAATAAGGAAAACGGCATCAGCTTACAACGATAAACCTAAAAATTGTAAACTCTCTCTATGAGGAAGATAGCTATAATCATCTTCCCAGAGTGACACGAATTACTAAGTAAGCAATCAGAACTTATCTCAAAATGCAGAAACGAAAACAAATTGTTACTATGCTACCTAAAAATCAAAAACTAAAAGTGAATAACTTGTAAAATACCACTATGATAAAGGCAAATACATATACTATATATGCACACACACACACATATATATATGTATATATATAAATAATCAAACATCAATATACACACACACTCACACACACACACACACACACTATATATATATAGAATGCAGTTAATGTAACATACTTTAGGCAAAGCCAATACCTTAAGCTAAACAAATAGGATAACCAACTGACAAGAAAAGAAATAAATAGAACAAATTAACTACTATAATAATCAACAAAAAAAAAATCAGTAATTAACAATAATGAGTAAAAAGCTAAAATGGCAACAAATAATTGCATTCAGATCCACAATTATTTCCACTCAATAGGCACTAGGATAATTTGAAACATAACCATTACTGCCTACCTAATAACCGATAGGATAATACAATAAACTTTGTTACCCATAATGCACAGCAGTTCGACATCTATAAATAATCAAGATAAAACACAACCCATGTGGCCTGAAGATTACATTTAAGCATGAAATCTGTTGACCTCAGTGACCGCACAAACCCAACACTACCACACACACACACACACACATATATATATATATATATATACATATATATATATATATATATATATATATATATATATATATATATATATATATATAATTATTAAATAATTCAGCTTAATTAATATTGTAAAATAGTCATTCAAAGAATAAATCAATGAAGTTAATGTAATTAATGTCGAACTCACTCCGTTAATAGATTAAAGCATTAACTTATTCGCTGAACGACACGAACCTTATTTTATTAATTGTATAATGAATTAGATGCTCGGTACAAACTGCTTGCAAGTACTTTCAGTAAAACATTTACCATCTTCAGGTTTTTTCTTAATTTCAGGTAATTTTGGGTAAAATTCCAAGACGAAAATAAATGTGATACGTGTAGAAAGATATTTTATTAAAAAATATTATAAATAATTTATATATATATAAAGGAATATAGTTTTCAGGTATGCTATATTTATGGAATAAAGTGCTCAATATCCGAGATAGAGCGTATGTAAATATAAAAATAAACATTGAAGTCAACACTCAGAGGCGACACACTGTTGCATGCTAGACGCAATCATCAGGCTCATACAGACATATGTCCGCAAATTCATCAAAACCCTGAAGACGATATTGGAATATATCGAAAGTAATCGGAAAATTAAAAATTAATATATACAACCATGGTAACTGATGATTGCGTTAAGCATTAAACAGTCTGTTGACTCTGAGTGTTGACTTCAATGTGCACTATGTTATAATGAAGTCAAATATTGCAGGAAAGAAATAATGCAATAAAAATATAAAATGAAACATACTTTAAGTTTATTCATTCTTGTGTTTATGAGAAACATGAGCCTGATGAGTCTTAGCAATTTCTTCAGTGTTTAGGTGTATAGTTGATAAGCAAACTCTCATTTTCTCCTCAATACATTGAAGAGTTCCTCTCTTTTTGCACTTAATAGTGGTGATAGCAGAAAAGTCTAATTCACATGAATATGACGGAGACAGGTATTGTAATATAATAAAGTAAATATATTTATTTCTTATATGTGGACTTCAATGTTTCACACACACACACACACATATATATATATATATATATATATATATATATATATATATATATATTTAAACATTAGATAGAAGTCAACACTCAGAGTGCTGACTTCAATGTTCGCTATTATTTTTATTTTTATATTTACATACGCTCTGTCCCTGGTATTGAGCACTTTGTTTCCTAAATATAGCACACCATAAAACTATATTTCTTCATATATATATATATATATATATATATATATATGTATGTATGTGTGTGTGTGTGTGTGTGTGTGTGTGTGTGAACATTGAAGTCAACACTCAGAGGCCTATATATATATATATATATATATATATATATATATATATATATATATATATATACAATCCGCCCAACAATGTATACCTACTTCAAAAAGAAGAAACTTGTCTTTGCAGTTTTATTAAATTGCGAAAACTTTACTGTAATATTTTCTCGACAGATGACATTAGTTAATTCTTTCGTTATTTTCAAATGAAAAGGAAAAATAATTTTTTCAAAATTTTTAATTTAAGAGACGCTCATAAATATTTATCAGGTTAATTGAACAATCTTAGCAAATTATGGAGGATGCTAACTGACATAATTTAATGCCTAATGAAAAAAGTAGTAAAGATGTCGTTGATTTTTTTCTTTTTTATCCAATTAATATTAAAATCATTTCAGTACTGGTTAAATTTATGTATTGTATATATATATATTTTAATAACAGGAGGGTATTAATTTAACCGTTATCTTTTCATTTTAGACATCAAATTACATCACTTAGGAACCTCCATAATTTACCTAGGTTCTTTTAAAAAAAAAACAAACAAACGCTAACAAGATTTTCACTTTTGTTTATAAATAATTACTGCAAAATAAAATCTTTACATTTTCCTTGGAAAATTAAATCCATCAAAGGCCAAAAAGCGTAGGCTAAAATAAGTTTTGTTTTTGTCATCATTAATAAGGTGGCCTGACGATTGCGCCTAGCATGAAACAGCATGTCCTATGTGTTGACTTCAATGTTCACTTTTATATATATATATATATATATATATATATATATATATATATAGCTTTCAAAATAAGGAACAGATTTTAAGAAAAGGTATTAAGAAACAGGAAAATATCGTTAGAAACAAAGAAAAGAGTGCTAAACCGTTATGTATTATCGGTTCCCTTATATGGCAGTGAATGCTTGACAATCTCCTTACAGATGAAGAAGGGACTTATAACAACATAGGTTCTACAGAAAGCCCCCAAGTAATGACCACTTCGGAAGAAAATGTGGCGAAAGTTAGCATAACGCATACGAGTCATGTACTATTGTTTTTCTAATACTATTTCTAGAGAAATGTTTGGTTTATTAGATTGAACGTCTATGCGACTCATCGCCAACGGAATCGTATATACAGATCACGTTTGCTCTCTCTCCCTCTTTATATATATATATATATATATATATATATATATATACAGCGTGTATCAAAAATGCTTTTACAACATTTGGAGGAGGGTTGCTCACACAAAAGCAAACACAAAAGTCCATACAAACATATATCTGCATATCCATCATAACCCTGAAAATGATATTGCAATATATCGAAAGTATTCGGAAAATAAACAATTAATATATACAACCATGATACCTTCCTTGTTCTGTTTAACTATGAAAAAAAAAACGAAGCTTATACGTGATTACGAAAGGATCTTATTGAAAATAAGCAAACACAACATGTCTAGATTGTTTAATCAGACATGTTTAAATATGCATATATATGTGTGTGTGTGTGTGTATGTTTGTGGGTGTGTGTGTGAGAGAGAGTGTGTGTGTGTGTGTGAATTAAAATTAATGAGATCCAAATAGTTTACCTCATACAGATGATCATTTCGTCCACGGGAAAGTAGTTTTTCCCCTGGACTTTTCAATGCAAATAAAAATAATAAAATGCCACGTTTTTCAAGCGTCGCGTTTATCTGTACCCGACTCCACCATTCTGTCCCTTACCCCTCTATATCTCTATTTTTGTTCAATTCTAACTCACCCTCTCTCTCTCTCTCTCTCTGTCTCTCTCTCTCCTTTTATTCTTTCTTTTTTCTTTTTTCCTTCTTTCCTTCCTTTGCCGTTCAAATTTTCTGTGAAGAAACGTGGGATTTTATTCACTTTAGTAAATGTATTTGCATTGATAAGTCCAGGGAAAGATTACTTTACCCATGGACGAAATGATCATCTGTATGAGGTAAATTGTTTGAATCTCATTAATTGTAATTCACTTATATGCTTATATAATAAAAAATTATATTGAGCTCTCTTTTGTGAATCAGTTTTAATATTTTATATTAATAGGATCTACTTGGATTACTTAACCATGGACTTATTTACACACACACACACACACACACACACACATATATATATATATATATATATATATATATATATATATATTAATTTTATAATTTTATCATATAGACAAAACCACAGGTTCATAACCATTTCGATTCTCACCCGTCGAAAGTGCAGTTGAAATGCACACTGAAACCAAGTTGCATCTTTGTAGTGGTAAATGGATTTCTCTTTATGACAAAATTATAATAAAAAATAATTATCGCTCTACTATCGGTATCGAGCCTCTTTTGGATTAATGCTGTGAACGTTGGAATTTATATATTACTTTCATTCTCATTGCATCCGATATATATATATATATATATATATATATATATATATATATATATATATATATATATATAACAATACAGTGCACGTCTTCTAAAAAGTGTTTTTGTATATGTTTGCATGCGAAGGTGTACTTTCTTTCAGGACACATCCACACAGACATTTATATATAGGGTGAGTAAAAAGTATATGCCCATTTTAAAATAATTATAATTTATTTATTAACTATACTTTTTACAAGAAATGGGTATAAGAGGAATCTGTTTAGATTGAGGTTTTATTTAAAATTCGATATGGGCACCAGATTTCACTGCCAGCTTCTCAAGTTTTCCAAGAATCACATCAACTGATTTCACCAGGAACTCTTGTGTTATGGAAGACATAACTTCTTGTATTGTCTCTTCAAATTCTTCCAAAGTCTTGGTTTGGTATAATAGAATTATTCCTTTAACCAATTCCAAAGACTCAAGACTCCTGGCTGACAACACATACACAGAGATACTTTTCAATCATCCTATATATATATATATATATATATATATATATATATATATATATGTGTGTGTGTGTGCAGATTCTTATATACATTATTTATATATTATATCTGCGCGGTACTTATTGGAAAGCGCTCAATATCAGTGAGAAAGCTAACATAATTAGTTGGATTGATGTGAGTAAATCGGTGTTTTATGGTAGTGGGAGGAAAAATTAATTACTTTGTCTGACGATCGTAGATAGCGTGAAACGCAGGGTCACAAACTCACATCAATCCAACTTCATATATATATATATATATATATATATATATATATATATATATGTGTGTGTGTGTGGAATTCTTATATACATTATTTATATATTATATCTGCGCGGGTGGTACTTATTGAAAGCGCTCAATATCAGTGAGAAAGCTAACATAATTAGTTGGATTGATGTGATAAATCGGTGTTTTATGGTAGTGGGAGGAAAAATTAATTACTTTGTCTGACGATCGTAGATAGCGTGAAACGCAGGTCACAACTCACATCAATCAACTATATATATATATATATATATATATATATATATATATATATATGAAGAAATATAGTCTTAAGATGTGCTATATTTATGGAATAAAGTGCTCAATATCAGAGATAGAGCGTGTGTAAATATAAAACTGAACATATTAGGTTGGTGCAAAAATAATGACGTAATAATAATGTCGTTTTGTGACGTTTAAAAAATACGTCAAAAAACGACATTATTACGTCATTATTTACACCAACAACGAAATCAACACTTAGAGGCTGTCTGTTTCATGCTAGATGCATTAGTCAGGCCTGACGATTGCATCTAGCATGAAACAGACTGCCACCTCTAAGTGTTGATTTCTATGTTCATTTATATATATATATATATATATATATATATATATATATATATGTGTGTGTGTGTGTGCATGTGTGTGTGGGGGGGACAATTGAGGATAGTGTGCAAAATTTTGACATGAGACGCACAGAAGTTGTAACCCCATTCGCACGCACACCCAAAAAGTAAAAGCTAAAGCGCTGAGAAACTATAAATACATCCCCTTCTTTCCCTCTCTCTGTGAACTAGGAGCCAAGCGAAAAGAGTGATGGAAAGTAGCCGCGGAAAGAAGTAGATATACAACTATAAAGAAAGAAAGAATGAAAGAAATGAAAGAGAGAGGAGGAAAATAGAAAGAGATAGAGAGAGGGGGATTAACATATGTCAGACAAAACTTAGCCGAGATTAATATTTTATTTCAGCTTGAATTTTACTTCATATAAAGATACTTTTCTTCCAGGTGTCTTGGATTGTGGCATTATCAATTATCACTAAATATGATGTTCTAATTCCTCAGCAAATTTGACTCTCAAGAACACCCAAGGTGTGTCACAAAAGCGCGCGTACAAAAGCTATGGATGTGTGCGTACGTACGTGCGTACGCACGTACACACACACAATGAGGATAAACTATGGATATCTTTCCTGAGATGTTTATAAATTGTACACTGTTCAATTATTAACGTTAACAACGTACTATTTAAAATTACAAATTTGTACGTGGATAAACAAAAATTATTTACAATGTAATACATATTACTTATAATACATTCCTTCTTGCAGTCAATTTTGACTGTACAGGTACACTGGTGTATATATATATATATATATATATATTGTGTGTATTTAGGTAGCATCTTTTCATTCATACACGTTTCATTAAATAATATAGACAAGTGTTGTCTATTTATTTATGTAAACTCTTTTCATACTTCATACTTCTCCAATTCACTCTCGCGTGGTCATGTGTGACGTCATGAGATGCGGTGTGATTTTCGCTTCTAGGGTCTTATATGCACATGTTTATCGTTGCTTAGAAATCATCTATATAAACAATGACAGGCTATCATCACTGTCTTGTCCGTATATTGCTTACGTTTATGTTGTAATTGACATCTTTGATAATGGCTTATATAAGCCGAAAGCTTAGATTGTATTAAAAAAATATGGATCAATATTGTGAATTTCTTTCTTCGTTCAATGATAATGTTATTAAACTTATTAGACGTTATGAAAAGTTTACATAAAATAAATAGACAACACTTGTTTATATTATTTAATGAAACGTGTATGAATATATATATTCCTCCTTGTCTGAGAAGCATTACTCGTTATTTGGAAAAGATTAGTAAAATCAATCGACATAAAATGTGTGTTGTCTTTAACACACACATACACACAGGTACACACACACACACACATATATATATATATATATATATATATATATATATATATATATATATATTACAATGAATCATTCATACAAAAAGTATACTAGTAAAGTTAATGATATAAAATGGCGAAATCCCTTCGCAAATAAAAGTTTGAAGGTGTATTAACCTACAAATCACTCGATGAATGTCATGATCCTTGTTTTAAAAAAATTATAATGTATTAAGTCTTTTTTTAATACGCAAGTACTTTCAACTGTAAATTCAGTCATCTTCAGGCATGGAAATTTTTTTTGTTTTTGGTAAAATTCAGGTAGCATCCGAGAAGAAAATATTTCCATTCGCATTTAATTTTTTCGTATAGATTAAAATTTGGATAATATTCAATGGCGCTACTCTCGAGGATTTTCATTCTGTGAGAGTTATTTTCTTTCTTTTTTTTATGAGTGTAGCATTTTTAAAATCAAAATTGTGGTTGAATTTATTTCTTTGTATGATTAGTGCATTAGATAAGTTGTTTTTTGTGAGGTCTTTTGTTTTTGTTTTTTTTTTTCTTTTTTTCTGCTTGTTTCTCCAATATATTGGGAGGATCAGTTCTGGCAATTTATTTTATAAATGTCTGATTCAGAAGTATTGCTATTAGTGTTTGAGGATCTGTTTATATCCATAATGGTTATGGAAGTGTTTGTGATTATTTTAAGATTACTTAGATGGGATGGGTTGTTCTGGATAGTGGACATGACAGAGTTGGTCGGTAGTATTATGCATCCGTTTTCATGTAATTTATTATTACAGATTATGTTATTATTTTTGTTTCGGTTGTATATTTTTTATGCCTTTCTTCTTGCGTTGTGGATGAAATAATAACGGTATTGTAGGATTTTGATTGTGTTTTCTATGCATGTTTCTTCTTTGGGCAAATATTGGGGGCTGCATATTCTTAATTTTCTCAGATAGAAACCTATAATAATTCCAGATTTAATTTTAGTAGAGTGGTTTGAGTAGAAACTGATCAGATCATTTTTTGTAGCCTTTCTGTAAACGTCAAAATTGATTCCGTTATTATTTCTATGTAAGATGATATCTAGGAAGGGAAGAGTGTGGTTGGTTTCAGTTTCAAAAGTGAAAAAAGTCCACATTGGACGAAACGCGTCGGCTAATAAGACAGTTTTCCTATTGTCTTTTACCTTTTATACATATTGTATTTTTCTACAGGTTAACGCTGAGAAATTTTTCATATACATACATGCATATATATATATATATATATATATATATATATATATATATACTTAGTTGAACTGATATGAGTTTGTGACACTGGGTTTCACGCCATCGTCAGACAAACTATTTTAGCTCCATCTCTGACAATGCTTTCCAATGTATACCTCGCACATATATATATATATATATGTATATATATATATATATATATATATATATGTATATAATAGATAGCTTTGTAGCTAAATATATTCGTGTAAGTATCTATGTATATACATAGAGAGAAAGGGTATTAGAGGCAATTATCTAAAGTTTTTCGTATAAACATTGAGTGTGTATGCGTGATTTTATTCTCGAATATCTGTGTGTGCTTCAATAGCACGCTCCCACTTGGACCGCTTTAGTGCTTTTGGAAATGTGGACACTCGTAAAAAGTGGAATTTGCCACAAAACGAACCGAAATTTAGAGCCGGAAAACGAAACCCTCTCCAGCCGACCGGCGAAATAAATAATTCATCTTCTCAGCCTTCCAAACGTCAAGTCCTTGAAGTCTTTTAATTGAAGCGATTGCCAAATATGGCGCGTTTTTGGTTTTCCTCCCTCGTCCACTGCTCCAGCATCTGGGCAATGGGCTCTCTTGAAACATTCGAAACTCGAATCTTTTCCTTCCTGAGCAGATGAAGAGTCATTAAAAGCTCAGAGCTTAATCAAAATACGTCTGGATTTCGGCGAAGGACATTTTTAAAAGCGAACTGCTCATAAATCGTGATATCACGGGTAGGACGTAAACGAATACGCACTTTAATAAAAACGCAGACAGCAGCACAGCACTTACTAAACCCATGTAATAAATACATACATATATATATATATATATATATATATGTATGTATTACATGGATAAATATATCAAAATTCACGGTTAGTGATGATATCGCAAAGAATAATTGGTTAATTCATAAACATATTATTACATGAGCACGCATCGGTTGTGCTTAGATTTTTTTTAAAAAATCGTTTTGCCTCAAGTAAGGTAATAAAGCCACTAAGACGCAAGGTCTTACTGTGTTTGAGAGAATACGTAAAGAAAACACTGTTATGAAGAGAGAACAATAAAAGAACAGACATTTAGAAGACAAAAGATAACGACTGAGATTGCATTTAAATTTTTGAAGACAGGAAGTCAGAGTTCCATAAGTGAGAGAAGAAATAGTTAGCATACAACTTACGGTTACATCAAGTTATTTCAAGTGTAAAATGAGACCTTCCCGCCAATCGAGTTACTGCGCTTAAAATCATAATGTCTAGGTACCATAATGTGATACAAGGCCAAAAGAGGGATAGGGGAAGCCTGGAGTTCAATCTGTCTTATCTTAAATTTAGCTAGCTCCAATTACTGACCCAAACATACGACAGTATTCCTTACGCTAAAACATCACATTCTTACATTATAAAATGGACAAAGTCCGACAAATATTTTAAGACATTTTTATGTTTACACATTCTTTTTATAGATGCAAATATTTAAGTAAATGCTCCGTTTATAATAAACAGTATTAAACAGCATTTACCGGCCTGAATGTCCGAGAAATTATCACAGAGAATATTCGGTACATCAAGCTAAATGACGGTTCCGTATAAGATAGAGGTTCGAATCCTGTCGAAGGACGAATATTTTCTGTGATAATTTCTCGGACATTCAGGCCGGTAAATGTTGTTTAATACTGTTTATTATAAACAGAGAATTGAGTTAAATGTTTGTATCTATAAAAAGAATGTATAAACATAAAAATATCACATTCTTACTTACCATTCTTACAACAACTGCCATAATACCTTAAAGAGGAATGTAATATTTATACAAAAGTGTGGCTCAAGGCCAAAATGTGGGTAGAAAGGTTGATCATCAATCTCTTATCTTAAACTTAGCTAGCCACGATTACTGACCGAAACATACCACAGCATTACATACAACAAAACAGCACATTTTTACTTACAGTTCTCGCTACAGTCACCATAATACCTCAAGTCTCTATATAGTCTTAGCTAATCCCAATATATACAATTCAATGGAGGAATGTTCATCAGAACAATTGCCATGAAAGCAATTTTTGTCAACAGAAAAAATTAGCCAGAGGTTAGCATCAGCCATGCTGATGGAAGGCAAAAGGGTGCTCTCAGACGATTAAAAGAGAGAACATTCGTTTCAGAGACGCTAAAATTAACAAGCCATTCCTTGCCTCGGTTACCAACAGATTCTAGGTCAATTTTTAGATCAGCTGCCAATTTGACCTTCAGTTATGTGCCATGCGTGGTACACGCTTAGGCGATCATGTATCTTTTGATACAAGACTCGTGAGGCAGTTTTTTTTTTTCACAGTCGGTTGCCATTTTTTCTGCGGTAGACCAGTTGCCATCCAAGCCTATAGAACCCAGTCTGTCCTGCTATTTACCCATAGTTTGGGCAGGGAGAAGAAGAGGATTATTTGCTTTATCATTCCCAATTTAAAAGTTATTTGGAAACCTGTGACCTGACTGGAAAAGTACTCAAGGATCAAGTTTATATATGGATAACCAAAAACACTTCTTTGAAAAATGAGAGAAAAATCTCAATTCAAACCATAGAGAAGATAACAGGAAGGAAAGAATTCCAAAATCTTTCCCCAAGAAGTCATGGCAATTCACAAATCATAAAGTAATACAATCTGTGAAAGAATCATGATTGTCTTTTCCCCGGAAGGAATATGATGTTTAAAAAGAAATTATAGCTTTCTATCAACAAGCCATTAATGGTCACCATCACATTTTTGGGATGATGAGCATTAATGGATTAATAAAATCCTACTCATAATATCACGAGTAAATATAAACAGTTCAGTTATAATATTTCTTGTTTATAATTTGTTCAAGGCTTATAAAACAGGAATTTATCTTGAAAGTGATAAGAACGGAAAACTGATTCTCATCAGTCATCGCCCTCCAGTAAATTAAAAAAAAAAATTTTTCTTACAAAATCTCAAGATGTTTTTGCAGATAAAAGCATTCCTTTGCATGCCAGTACAATACCGTCACATTTTTGGGATGATGGGCATTCAATTATGTGCCATGCATGATACACGCTTAGGCGATCATGTATCTTTCGATACATGACTGACGAGGCAGATTTTTTCCCGTAGTAGGTTGCCATTTCTTTCTGCAGTAGACCAGTTGCCATCCAAGGCTATAGAATCCGGTCAGTCCTGCTATTTAACCATAGCTGGAGGGAGGAGAAGAGGATTCATTCCCAAGCACGCAAGTGAATGTAATAGATTCGACTGGAATTCGAAATCGGATCTCCGATTCTTCAATCCGTGCCACTATCCATTACTCCACCGTGTCTCCTCTTGACCTTACCGAACCGATTAGACTTATTACTAAGACGGGAGCAAATAGTTTTGTCTCAGCATAGATACCGAGTTGATAGCTTGTGAGAGATCAATTTTTTGAATCCTTTTACCCCAAAGGAAGTCGATAATGCCGCGGATAATCGAGTGAATGTGACAGATTTGATGGAATCTCAATAAGAGAAAAAAGGGACAGCATGAAGACATAAGATAGCGAATTGCATTTAATTGTTTTAATGTCGTCGTTGGCAGAGAACCAAAAAGCCCGGAAGAGAATTGCGCCAGCAAGGAATATGAGAAAAGTATACGAGTAGATACTGTTAGAATAGAACTTATGGTTGCATAGATCTAGTTCAACAGTAAAACCGTGAGACCTAATTGCCAATCTAGTAGCAAACTTAAATTGATGCGGTCTAGATAGCACGGATGAAACCTCATTAAAACAATTAAAATGAGAATATTTATAGGAAGGTACAGAAATAAACAG